CATTTAACAATGGCTCTCACCTTCTCGGGGTCTATAGAAACCCCTTGGGAAGACACGATAAAGCCTAAAAAGATAACATGATTGACATGAAAGGTGCACTTCTTAGGATTTACGTAAAGTTGTTCCTTCCTTAAGACCTCGCAGATTTGCCTTAAATGGTATAAGTTCTTACTTATGGACTGACTATAAATAAGATGACGTCAAAGTAGGCAACGACAAACTTTCCCATAAAAGGGCGCAACACTTGGGTCATGATCCTCATGAAAGTACTCGGGGCGTTACTCAACCCAAATGGCATGATCAGCCACTCATACAGACCATACTTGGTTTTGAAGGCGGCCTTCCACCCATCACTGAGTTAGATCCGGATCTGATGGTATCCACTCTTAAGATCAATCTTGGAGAAAAGAGTGGCTCCAATCATTTGGCCGGCGGTGGAAGGAGAACCAAGGGAGTATGGGGAAGGGACATTGTCGGCCACAAACCCGGACTCTTCCTGTGGTTGGTGGGTATTGCGATGCCCTCACCTCGGGACTTCAATCTCTCCAAAGATCTAGCTCTCACAAAACTCGTGGTTGTAGAAATTTTCATAATAGTAATTCATTCCCCTCTCCAAGAGGAGGAGAATGCATTAAATAGCCCCTACAAAGAAGGTAAAATAAAAGGCAACTTTGCCCCAAGGGCTTACATATGAGTAGACCCATAAGTAAGGGTAAAAATGAAAAATGTAATCAAATAAAACAATTACATATAATGAATTAAAAATAGATTAACACGATTGTGGCCGTAGATCGTTGGCCCCGTCTCTGGTAGACTTTCCAAGATCAGATGTCATCATCACTTACGCCCTTAGGCACAAGGTTTGAGCAGGTCAAAGAGGATTACTTAGAGTGCCCCGACTTTAAGGAGATCTATTCCTTTTTGTTCACAGGCAGCACGCGCCTAGTGGATGATTTTCTCCTTGAAAATGGATACCTATTCAAAGCTCAGAAGCTTTGCATTCCAAGCACTTCCCTTAGGGAATTCCTCGTTTGACAACTTCATGCCGGAGGCCTCGCAGGACACTTCAGTCGTGATAAGACTATCGAAGTTGTAGAGTACCATTTCTTTTGGCCTAGCCTGAAGAAAGATGTGGGTAAGATGTCAGTAGATGCCACATTTGTCAACTGGCCAAACAACGAAGGCAGAACACAGGTCTTGCACCCGTTTACTAGTTCCCAGTTGTCCATGGCAGGATGTTAGCATGGACTGTTTAGAATTGTATCGCATAAGGAAATTACATCTTCATTTGCATCGCATTTGCATGAATTGCATAAGGAAATTACACGCCGTATTGAACAGAACATTGCGGCTTATAAACTTCACGCTGATCTTAAACGAAGATTCAAGACATTCAAGGTTGGTGATTCAATGATGGTCCGGATCCGTCTGGAATGGTTTTCGAAAGGGACCGTTAAGAAACTAAATGCTAAAAGCACAAGACCATTTAAAAAAAATGAAGAAAATTAATGACAATACTTATGTAATGGATTTGCCTATAGATTTTAATATTAATCATTCTTTTAACATTGAAGATTTAGTATCCTATGAAGGTTCAAAGTTGAACCCACCTAACCCACTACAAATTGAGCCTTGTGTGACCGCACCCTGTGAGAGCCCAAGCCTTCCTCCACTTTCAAATATTTTCAAAACACCTATTGCAGAGAAAGTTGACATGATTTTAAACGATGACATTATTTCCATGAAAGAGGGTGGACGAAGAAGGTATTTGGTAAGGTGGAAAGGTAAACCAGAGACATAGAGCACTTGGTTAGAGCGCTAGAAGCTCCAGCGGTTTGACCCAGATGCACTAGAGATCTATGAGAACACTCAGGATGCATACTCGATGGAGTCGAGCTCCTTTCCACCCTAGGAGAATAATGAGGATAGCTAACTGTGGAAAGTTTATCAGAGAAGATGTCGAAGATCTACGGCTACGATTGGACCACTTTATTTCTGAGCATTTATTTGTATTTGATTTTTATGATGTATTTTTCTGTTTTTACCCTCACTTGAGGGAGTAGGCTTATATGACCCTAGGGGGCGTACTTCTATGATTGGATATTTTATTGTAAGTCGTCAATTTATAGACCTCTCCTCCTCTTGGAGATGATGTTGATTATGAAGAGAAAAAAAATAGCTCTTTTTTTCTTGATGAGTTGTGATAGTTCTTGTGAGAGCTTGTACGAAATCCCTAGGCGAGGGCAATGCACTACCCATTAGCCGCAAGAAGCATCCGGGCTCGCAGTTTATCTCCACCGCCAACTCTCTTTCCCTTCTTTCCCCTAACTGCCGGCCCAACTCCTCCCCCTAGCCGCTAGCCATTCCCAACTTCCCCCTTGGCCGACTTTCACCCTAAATTGTCGGCCACCCTTTCCATCCTAAACCACCGGCTACCCTTCCCCTTCTAACCGTCGGCCATCACCTTTTTCCATTACCTCCAAAATTTTAATCCAAGTAATCAATACTTTCCACAGTTAGTGCATCATAAATTTGGAAAGTCCTAAATTCATATTTTAATTCACTTAGATCTGAAATTTCTTTCTTAAAAGGGGATGAGTTATGTTAGGAAAGTTTTCTCATTCAGACTAATTTAAAATTTGAATAGAGATTTTCCCTAAATCCCCTTTCTTCAATTAACATCCTAAAATTACGAACTCCTTTAAATCCTCTAATTAACCCCACCTACCCTAGCCCTTGCTGCCTCCTCCCCTCTCTCCTCAATTATAACCTTTCCAATTTTAGTTCCCCAATCAGTCCCTCCATCAAGGCTTGTCGCCCCCTCCCCTCTCTCCTTATTTTAGAGTCATTCAAATTCAATTCCCCCCAATCACTCACCCCACTTAAAGCAGCAATTCAATCCTAATCAATCCCAATTGATTCTTGTCTTCAATTGCATGCCACCTAGACAAGAAATTAATTCCATAATTTTGTTAAATGCTGGAATTAGATTCAGAATTTCCTAATTGTTGTCCATCCCTTATTCTATTCTCCAAATCCGAAATTAAATCTCACATTTCTCTCCCCCTATATGGCTGGCCGCATCTTCACCTTCTCCCTTGACAATTATTCTTCCTAACTTGTTATTCCCTCAAGAAAGAGAACATAAATCCTCTCCCAGGGCGAACTATACCTACCTCCCCCCCCCCCCCCCCCCACCTCCCCCCCCCCCCCCCCACTCTCTTACCCCTTTTTACACCAAGTCCACCACTTAATGATCCCACTAAGCAAGGAATATCAAGCCCGTATTTTCCCCCCTACTCTTACATCCTTTCCAAATCTGTAATCCATTGCTAACTGCAAGGCTTGAATGATACAAGAGGCTACACCAAACAATCGACGACCGGGTTCTAGCAAATGTTATAACAAGAACCAAAAACATGCGGATGGTAAACCTTATTTCTTACCTTATATCTTTGATTCCTCCTCAATCATGCATCACGTGACCATGAAGACTTATCCGCATAGCCCATATTAAGAGTGTGTGTGAGTGGATCTTTAAAGTGATTATTCTAATCGTTAAATTAGGGATTCTCTTTGAAAGCCTTACATTAACATGGTATGATTTAATTTGATTTTTTTGTGATCCTAATGTTATCATGTAATTGATTACCTGAGCTTAATCACTATCTTGTTGGACTTAATCTTTAGTTAAAACACGTGGGAAGTTAATGAATTGGTAAAGTTCTATTCATAAGCGTGTAATTTCAAATCCACTAACATCACATATGCACGTCATCCTACATCAGTTTTACTCCACATCTTGTGGTTATTAGTAGATTGAGTGTGAAAACATTTCTCCTTACTATACATCTTGGAAATTTTATGGTCATAATTTCTCAGAATGCTTTTGGGCTCACCTAGAGCTACAAAAAGAATCATTGTGAGAACGTTGATCTTCCATCTGATAAATGCTTACCTCCAATGAATTGATGATTGTTTTGATTACTTTTGATATGGTTTGCACTCAAAATGGTGAATCATTTTTTAATTTTGTTTTGAAACTAGTCCTTCCATGTGTCACTAATTTAGCGATTTTGATTGAACCCCGCATCTACTCACTTGATTAATATTCCAGGCCCAACTAAGGTTTTTGGTTATGGTGTTATTCCTATCACGAGGGTTTGGGAGATCCAAACTCACTTTCTCTTACTTTTGCTATTAACATTTCTAGCACAAAGGAGCTTGTGAATTAGAAATTTCAATTATATATGTCAATAGAGGAAGAGAAAACAAGAAAGCATACTGACACTCTCCAAAATATACCAGCCTTCAACTGGGTGCTTTTTATGATGTCCATTGGGGCTCATCTCTTCCAACAGTTAGTTCATTCACCATATGTTTGCTTTGCTAGTGTATATTGTTTTATAGTTCTTAACTTGCAACGTTTTGCAATTAGTTTGTACTGTATTTCTTCTTATAATCAATTTTGTTTTTGTTAAAAAAAAAAAAGAATGAAATAATGTCCCGATTATATATAAGAACATATGTTTAAGATTTAAGACAATTATTTAATACTAATATTGCCACAATTATATTCGTCTCGCTACGGCCATATTTCTTATCGGTATCCTCATGTGATCTCTGTATCTTATAAAAGGCATGTTAATAATGGAGGTAAGAGAAGTGTCTAATGCATTATCATCGATTGGCCGTGCCGACAATTCTGATGTGGTCACACCTGCTGTGGTAGCTGAGGTAATTTTTTAGTATAGCATACCGAAACAAGAAAGCTGGGATATGTTCTTTTTGGAGCCTTTTTAAAATCACGCTCTTTAATTTAGCTCTTCAACTCGGAAGTTCTAGCGTGCTGGCTTTTTTATGCTGTACAATATCCATGGAAGATGAAAGTGTTTCCTTGGCTTAATATTGTTATGATTTTATATTAGTTTGTAATTTATATATAAATTTAATGTTTTTTAATTTTTTTTTTCTTTGTAATCCGATTCTTGATGTTCCAGCGTGTACATATTGAAGGAATACGAAATGATGTATGGTTCACGAGGAATTATGTTCCTGTTAGATATAGTGAAGCTCAAGAAGTCAATCTGGATGACATCCATGCTGTTTTTAATGACATTGAGGTTGGTGGGATCTTTAAGATTGTTGATCCTGTTATTGATTATGGACTTAAATACTTTGTATATCAAAGTCCTATACTAATTTTTATCTTAATCTTTATTTAATTCTTAATCTAACCTGCACTATTGAGTATGAACATATCAGCTCGAAAGGATAACCTTGTATCTCCACTCTTTTTGTTGTAGGATCAGTTTGTAACTGAGCAAGTAGAGAACAGTGAACGTCGTCCTCTTATAATGAACGCATTTGAGATGTTTACGTTGTCCCAAGGGCTGAATCTTTCAGCATTATTTGACAGACAGCAGGTAATGGTATTTACTTTTGTACGAGTTTCTCTGAAGCTGTATGTGACATTTCAATCACTTGCATTCATAGAAAGGTTTGCAGTTCTAAATCGAAAGGTCACTTGTTTACTATTAAAAACAGCTCGTTTATCTATATTATCTGTTCTTATTCATTCTTATTCGTTTGAAAGTGCTTCTAAAGCAGTAGTTGGGGAAGTTTGCCTTGTTGCACAATTTGGGGTTCCTTCTTGAAGTGCACATAGACAAACTTACCTGATAGCCACAATCTTAACTGATATCGCTATGGTGAGCCTGGATTGCTTTCCGGGTTAGCATTTTCATCGCACTAGCGATCAGGGTGTCTTTTCTAGAAAATTCCTGAATTAACTAATAACTACACGAATGCTCTGAAATTCTTTTGGTTAATCCTTGTTTGGGCATTAGAAAAAGTGGGAATTAGATTACGTAATATGTAACCCACCAACTTTGGAGATGGCCGGGTTTGTGGTTCTTCTTCTTTATCTTGTTGTCGCTCTTTCTTCATCCCATAGCCGCTGGCCAAGGGTTCTCCCGGATCCCTAAGCCGCCGGCCATCTAGCCCCACCACCACCCGCCACCTAGGCTCCCCACCCCATCCCCTTCCTACGGCCAAACCCACCCACCGCCGGCCACCTTGGCTTCTTCCCTCTCCCTACATGCTACCACGCCTTTCCTAAATTAGATTTCATGATTTTGGTAACTCTATTTATGATTAAATTCAAATCTATTTGAATTTGGAATAGTTGCCTAATTTATGAAATCCTATTTTAGGAAACCTACTAAATCCCTTCATATTTAAATTGTAAATTAAGCATATGATATATAGAATTCAAAGATGGGACATTTACCAGTAAAGCATGATTAAGGACAAATTGTATTGAAGCATTGGAGCCACACTATGCATAGAGATGCTTTAATTGGGGGAAAAAACTAGTTTTTGATGTGCTCTGGTCATGGTTTGTGGTTTGAATTCAGTGATCCTGAGTTGGATTTCATAAAAAATTATGGTACCCAAAATCATCATTAATGGCTGAGCTATAAAAGCAAATGATTGAAAACAAAAATATCTTTGATGACTTACTAGAAAAAGACTTTATAAAGATATCACATGTGGAGCATGATTAAATCTGTTTCCAAAGAAATTTGATTGAGATTTGTATAGAATGTATTAAGCCATATATGAACCAACTTGTTCTTCATTTTCAACAAGTCATTAGATTTTTTTTATATAATGAAATAGGAGTCAATAGGGTTCGAACCATCAAATAAATATACGGTTATGGGGACTGGTATATTTGTCTTAATACATTCATATTAGGCCTTCAAAGTATATACAACAACAACAACAACATCAAGCCTTTATCCCACTACGTGGGGTCGGCTACATGAATCATTTTTCTCCATTGTGTCCTATTAACAATGAAAATTCACTAATAAAGGCATAAAGCCTACAAAACCCGATCTCCTATCGACAAGTTGATAGGGTCGACAAGGTTTAATCAAATGAAATTCACCTCGATGATGGTCGTGTTGAATGCAGATCTCAACCGGAAGAGTTAATTCCAAATATTTCAAGCTTCATCCAAATACTCGCGAAATTCAAAGCTCCCAAAAATCCATCATAAAACTCGAGGAAAACATTTTTATCCATAATATTTTATAAAATGACTGGAATTAAAATCAAAGATAGGGGTTCGAAAGTCTACCTCATGCTCTACAATATCCTAAATAGGACTAATGGATGAAACTCGAGCTTTAGCCTCCTCTCTTCTCTAGTGAGAGTTGCATGGAATGAGGTGATTAGCAAATAGTTTTGGATATTTTTAATATTTAAAACCATTAATTCGGTCTGGAGTCGTAGCGCTAGTCTTCTCATTACCGCAATACTAACCCGGATCTTTCATATTCTCCCAGAATCTTTCCATGGCTTGGTGCCACACATCGTTGCAACTCACCCTCAATTTCACCTCCCCAACTAAGAGCTCAATGCCATGGCGCCACCCAGCCCAGATCCATAGTGCTTGCAGAGTTATTATGATAATTTCCAATTTTATTTTTTGAATCCATTTCTTGGCTTACCTATGGCCTCATTAGACACTCTAAGATCCGTAATTATTAATAAAATCAAATTTAAACAAATATTTATAGTAATTACCTGGGCTTTTTCTCTGTAGATATTTCATGAAACCCGTGTTGAGAATGGGGAATAAAGAGAGCTAGAGAGAAGAGATGGAGATTTGTGGTAAGCTCAAGAAAAATCCACCTCAAACTAGCATGGAATCCACTAGAATCACTAAAAGTCTCAAAGTGCACCACATCACCCTTTATTTATGGTTGTGAGAGCTATAGGAAGGCTACGCAAAAAAAAAAGTACAATGCTACATAGATTAGCTGAAAAAGAGCACGGTCGAAAGGGCTCCAACGAGTGTTCTTAGATGTGCTTATTAGTGCCTATGTGAGTTTATGGGCGAGTGCTGAGATAAAGGGACCTACGACTAGTAGACTTGCTGATTGCTTGAGGAGGAGAGGTGAGTGAACTGTTGTCATGGGAAGGGTGAGGCCTCAGGTTGGAGGGTTGTGACAAGGTGAAGTGAGGATCCCATGAGTAAGTGCCTTTTTGGAATTGAGTTTGTCGAGCTTTCATGGGAATTATCACTTAGGCAGAGTGCGAGTGACTGAGATAGTGATTCAAATTTATGGCAAGTGCTGAGTTGTTGGCTTGATGATGAATCCCCAATTTGCCCCATAAAAAGGTGAGTTCTTTGGAGGGCCCGGGCGAATCTAGCTTATTGATCACATTGGAAAAAACATTCTTCAGGTTCTTGGTGAGTAAATCTGATGGACCGGTTCACTCGGTCCATCCTAGACCCGTGCGGGTCTATAGGAGGCGGGCGGACCGGCTGGACAAAAAGGGGCCCACCCACTTAAGTGGGGGTAATTTGGGTATGTGAGGGACTTTTGGATTGTATGAAGGGGGCCATTAGGGTTTAAGGGGCCCACCCACTTAAGTGGGGGTAATTTGGGTATGTGAGGGACTTTTGGATTGTATGAAGGGGGCCATTAGGGTTTAGTTGGGGGCATTATGAAAAGTGTATTCTCTTTCTAGTTTTCTTCTTCTAGTTTCCTTCTTGTTCTTTTCTAGGGTTTTCTTGTGGGAGATCTTGTCCTTCTCAAAGTGGACAAACTTATCTTGTTTTCTCTTGGCTTTCAATGCAAAGGTTCTTGCTTTTCATCTCAACCCTCTTGTGATTGTTTCTCTTTGCTTTTGGTGGAGAAATTCCTCATTTTTGGGGGAAATTAGGGCAAAACCGAAATTGTGGAACCC